TACCTCAGTGGCATACTGCATGCGCTCCACGTCAGCAGTGGTCACTTCCTTCTCCCAAAAGAGGGTGGCTGGTCTTCAGCCAGCCCCACAAAAGTACTGGGTAGGAACTGAAAGTTCATTCTCAGCACCTACTTGGCCGTAGTCCATTCAGCTGACAGGGGGAAAAATAAATATAATAAAAGGTACCCAAACAACATGCTTTAAGAGAACCCAAACAACAAATTGCTGTCGTTCTTAAAGATTAAATGCAACAGTCTGGGTTTAATCAACAAGACTGCTAAGACTTACAAAGATTCTATAGAAGAATCCTGATCAAAAGGGAAAAAATGCAGACAGAATTTCAAATTCTCATGGAATCCAGACTTTATGGAGCCATGGAGGCTGAATGAACTCCTGAAACTACTGCCCTGAGATATTCTTGAAACTTTAAGCCAAAAATATCCCCTGAAGTCGTCTTAAAACCAAACAACAGTTTAGCTGAACTGGTAAAGACTGCCTGCCTTGAGCACTGTGGTCTTTTAAAAACTATCTACATGGGATCAAATTGACAACAGCCACTCAAGAGATTAGAGAGGAACCTTAGGGGTGGTTTATGTGAATGGGGAGGAACGATTCAGAGAAGGAGGGTGATGATGGCTGCACGACTAGAAGAACATCTTCAACGTCACTGAACTGCACAGGCAGCAACTGTTGAAATGGTGTATGTTTTGCTGTGGATATTCTTAAAAACAAACTAAAATAAAAACTTTAAAAAATTGAAAGGAATTCTTCAACAGACAAAAGAATGCTTCCACAACAAGGACTTGAAAATTGCAAGGGGAAAAAACTCCACTCCAACCTTATTTCTCAGGTCAGATCATCCAAACGTTCACAACACAACACCTGCACTGAAATTCGGGGCTGCAAGCTATTAGAAAACTAACCGCAGGCAGCTGATCCACAGGCATCCTTTTCTCAGGCGCACAGATGTGCTCAGATGTCTTGAGCTTACAGGTAGAAAACCTGTTTTTTTCCATTCAGTATTTCAAACCCATAACCTGCTTCCTTGCACCTTCTGGGCTCCACCTCCAGGCCATCCTCCCTCCCAATCCATCACACACTTAACACTTTCATCAGCAGCTTCAAAACCACCTTCACTCTTCTTAAATTTTTCTGACTCCCAATCCAACCGTAATTTTCACCAAGTCCCAGTTTACAATCTTATTCTAGCATTACTACCTCGATCCCAAGCATAATTTTCCCAACTCTTGCCTTTGAAATGGCCTCTCCTCTCCACCCCAGCTCTGTCCTGTGCATCTCCCAAGATCCTGTTCAAGTCATACCTACATGTTCAAGTCACACACACGTTCAGTCATACCTACGTGTTCAAGTCACACACACGTTCAGTCATACCTACGTGTTCAAGTCACACACACGTTCAGTCATACCTGCGTGTTCAAGTCACACACACGTTCAGTCATACATGTGTGTTCAAGTCACACACACGTTCAGTCATACCTACGTGTTCAAGCCATACACGTGCACAGCTTCCTCGGATGTCAGGTCATCCCAGTCCCCTCCTCTCTAGAGTTCTTCTAGCAATGACAGTAACACCTTAGCATCCTGTTAAATAGCAGCTCACTACAAATGGCTGTGTGATCTTGGAGCACTCACTGAACCTCTCTGGACCACCATTTCCTCATCTGTAAAATAGTAAAAGTCTAGATTAAGAGCTTTATAAGGGCCTTTTCCATTCTGAAAATCCTCTAACTCCATACGCTACCTCGTCCTGCTTCACTCCTCGTCCCGGATTTAGGCTTCCTGAAGGAGAAGGTATACCTGTGTCTTTTCCCCAGCCCCCAGGAACTCAAGGAGATGCTCAGTAACGTGAGGGGCTGAGACAGACGAAGGTGACAGAGAGCCAACCGTGAACCCCAGGCCTCCTTCTGAGCAGGAACTGGTTCTCTTCTGGAGCCGAAGCCCTGCCTTGAGGGAAAGCAGGACCAGAACAGCTACAGGTCCGAGGGCTGAAAACGGTCTTGAGATTTGTGTATGGAAGCCTCGAGGGGACAGGTGTACGCTTAGGTGCTCTAGGGTAGATTACTGGGGTCTTGTTTACTGAAAAGCCTCGGTGGCACAGTGGGTAAAGTGCTCCTGCTGGGACCTAAAGGTGGGTGGTTCATTCCTAGAGAATCCCTGGGGCTATCTCCAGCCTGCCTGACAATCAGGGCAAAACGGGAGGTCCGTCCCAGTCAAGCAAAACCTAAAACCTGCAAGAACAGGGTAATTCCTTCCATTTTCCTGCCCCACGGTGCCACTTCTCAGCAAGCAAAGAGCAAGCTCTTGTAAGAGGGAAAGTAACAAAGGCAAGTATAGCGCAGCATTTTGTTCTACTCTAGGCTTCTGGTAAAGCATTTGTATTTTCCTCTCTTTGCTCAGGGCAGCGTAGGTCCATCTGTCGATAGATAGTAAGGACATGGCCTGCCGGAAGACAGGAGTCAACGGTAACCAGGAGCACGGAGGCAGCAGTGAGGACATAACCCTTCCAAATTCTGGGTCAGAATAGAGGGCTAAGCCCTATTTCACTGTTTTCAAATAAAATGTATTCAATACCCACACGCACATGTCTTCATCAAGAAGAGGCAAATATATCCCCATTTCAATCAAGTCAAACCAGACGATGCTAATGCAGTCCCTTCTACACGGGTTCTGGCTCAACGCTAACAAACCACAGAGTCATCACATCAAATCAACACTCCTCAAACCAATCAAATGAAGCCGGTTACTCCTGCAAGACTCAAATGAGCAAGACTTGCCTTTTACCAATGGCTCTTAACACAGAGCATCGTCGCTGTTCCTCACGCAGCTGTTTCACAGTTAGGACAGACACAGGGCAGCTACTATAGCGTCACTTTTTTTTTTTTGGAGTGAAGCCACAAGATTACTAACGAACAGCTAATGGCCACCGTTCAAAAGCAGTAATGGCACCACGGCTGTATGTCCCAGTGATCCACCCAACTGGAAAGGACCAGATACATGTACTTTTCTCTCTCCCCAAAGAGAATCTGAGTGTGAAAGTGGACACTCAGACTCACTTTCTCCCCCGTCATACAAATTTCTGCAAAACCTGTGCTGCTGGAGGAATGCTAGAACCATCTTCCCTGATCCCTGGATGGATGAGCGGGCATGACACGTGCTCAGAGGTTTAGAAATGCAAATTGGAGAACTCAGAAAACATTCCTTGCCTAGGACAGACTTCAGTGACAGCAGGCAGGGCAAGTGCTTGTCTAAAAATTCTTAGACACCTCCCTGGTTTGTCTTTCTTCATTGCTTCGGTGTTAAATAAGCTGTATCACGGAAAAATATGAACTGCCAGCTTTCCGCGTTCAAGTTCTGGAGCAAAAAACAACTCGGGTTTTTGTATAAGACACAAACGTAGGTAACCTGAACAACCAATCCGACCACGAGCAGGTTATCTGCTGAAATCAGTAACCACCTACGAAAACAGCAAATTATCCCCTTTGTACACCAACGACACAGGGTAATTAGCAGTCCAAGCTACAGTTACTGATCTCTAGCTCTCTAAGAATAAACAGAAGACCTGTGTCATTCTAAAAGCCACAGGGGTCTGTCTGTTTCTGACAGTTTACAGTTGACTTTGAGAATACCCTCAAAAAGTTTTATGTCATAAAAATAGCTTTGAGGAACACGTGTGCACACGCACACAGCTTTCTCCCCCTGAAAGGGCTTTCCAGTATCACCTATGACGCGCAATCCACATTCCTAACATTAAGAATCTACTGTTGCAGGCAACCTCGGGGTAGCACTCTTCTCCTTGAGAGCAGAAACAGACCACATAACTTAAAATAAATATAGAAAAATCACAAGTCCTTTTATAAAGGACCATATTCTTACATTTTCACTTTTTTCCTCTTTATAATATTTTAAGAATTTTATTCAGGGTAAACAAATGGGTGGCAAGTTCTTAATCATCGCCAGACAGAGGGAACAAAAGTAAAAACCTGAGACAGAAAACACACGTTAAATCTGAGATATTCCTCATTTAAAGTGGACATACTGTCCTGGGATACCCTTCAGATCTTGACTCCAAACTATCCCCTGTGGTCATCTTTAAACAAACAAATTAACTCAAAAAGTAAAGAACGTTGTTCCCGACCCCCACTGGGCTTCCAAGGCAATAAATCTTTACAGAAGTAGGTTGCCCTGTCCTCTTTCCTCGGAGTGGCTGGTGGGTCTGAACCGCCAACCTTCTGGTCAGCAGTCAAATGCTTTGGCCATTGTGCCACCAGAGCTCCTTAAGGTTTAAGGGCAGTGAGCCTAGATTAATGGGGCTGAAACAATAAGAATGGTGGTGACCCGACGTGATCATGTAACTGATGCCACTGCTAACTGGGTGTGCGTCCTGCAGCTGTGCATCACCACCAAAGGCAGAATAAAATAAACTTTAATAAGAGAACGTTGACACAGTTCCTTATGATTTAGAACTCCATCCGCTTTTTCACCAAGAATAAAAATACACTGAGGTTTTGGCAGATACTTCTAAAATCGCTCTAAACTGGAGGAAATTAATTTCTAAACTACCAGGATTGCATTCTAGAATGCAAAAATCTTTGGGCTATGTAAAAGTCTAGTCATATGCTTTTACAGAAATACTTCAAGTTTTTTTTTAATTTAAACAACCCCCCCCCCAATTGCTATACCACTCTCCAAGGGAAATCAGTCTATAGATGATCTTACCACAGTCATATCACTTTGACTTGACTTGCAGTGTTACCCAATGAAGAGAAATACCCAAGGCAGCCACACAAAGGCAGTTAAAGACCACACACCTTAAGTCAAATTTAACATTCTACTCAGCATAGATCCCTGCTATCCAGATCAAAGGCGGCGGAAACGCTCAGGTGTTAGTGAGCCCGGCGGCTTCTTTGTGTGTTACCAGGGCAGACAAGGGAGGTAAGGAAGGAAAGGCTCGCTCTGCACGGAGCTCGGTCAGCACTTACCTTGAGGATGTCCCCCCTTTTGAAGCTCAGCTCGTCGTCTGCAGTAGCTTTGAAGTCATATTTGGCGATGGCTTCCATTCTGAGCACAGCTCAGAGCTCAGCAGCCTGAAGCAGGGGGAAGGGAGTCTTCCCTGCCGAAGCAACCCAGTGCTGGGGGCTCAGCCTCGCCTCTCCTGGGACGCGCTCCTGCACTCTGGGACACACAATGCCACCCTGAAGCACAAGAGGGACCATTAAGAGAAGTGGCCAGGATCGAAAGCAGCCCCGCCCTGCCGATCGCAGCTGTCCCAGCCCCCACGCCCCCTGGCTCGCCCAGGCTCGGCCTCCTCCCTCCCTTGCAGGCAGATCAGATCACGTCTTCCTCTTTCCAGCCTCAGCCCCCAGGCGACTGACAGGCCCGGCGGCCAATGGCCTGAGCGCTTCCCGAGCACACTTCCTCTTCCTTCCCGCTGGGTGTGCGCGGTGCACTGAGGCTGTGGTCGGGGGCAGTCTCCGCCTTTCCTCCCTCACCCCTGCACTCTGCTCCGCACCTCCTCCCAGGGTGGCAGCCCCCTGGCCTCCGCTCCACAGGCCTAGTTCCCTACCCCCACCTCCAGCCTTCCCAGGTTCCTGACAGCCCTGGGTCCCAACTGTATGGTCAAGAGCAAGCAACACAGCCTTTGAGCTGCTCTCTTTTCTCCAAAACGAAACCGTGCTCGGCTCCAAGGAAGCGGGCCCAGGACCTCCTTTTTCATTCCCTTTACTCCGACGAGCACAGGAGGCTCTCCAGCTTGCACTTCTAAACTCTGATCAGCAAGTTTCGGGTACTGGGGCTTCCTGCTGGTGGAGAGCGCTCTGGTACAGCAATCCTTCTCCCTCTCCCCTGAACACAAGGCAGCCTTGGGGTCCCTAGCAGTCCTTGAAATAGATGCGGGAGCTTAGCACTCCACAAATAGCCACATTATTTCTAACTCTAAGGAGCAAAGCTCAAGTGCTAACCTATTCTAAGGAATCCCCGTTCACAAACTGAGCTGCCAGTAGGCTGAAGACCCGGCAGGAGGCCAGCGGCCAAGGTCAGTCTCTCAGATAGTCTGAGAGCAGCTGCTCTCAGAACCAGAGGAGCACTGAGTGGACCCAGACTGCGTCTCACACAAGGTCCTGCAAAGAGTTTTAGGTGCTGTCTCTCGGGATGGTGAACCAAGAGAAGGACGCAGGACTACAACAGACAATCATACAATCATCTCCGTCAGGAAGGTGGGACACACCTTGGCCTTTGCATAACTCTTGCTTGCTGTCACTGTTTTCTTGCACGCTAAACAAAAGCGGCAAACAACACTGGCACTGGCAGAATGGGGACAGATATTTATAGTGACACCTCTCTTGGATAATTACCACCTAGCAGAGAGCTCTTCTGAGGGGCACGAGTGATTATTCGTCTTTTGTTCTAAAGTTAACAATTGGGACATTAATCAAGCACAGCTGCAAATGAACTAAGCCGTATAGCAGCTGGGAATTAAGATGAGGCGGAGACAAGCATTATTACCAAGGAGGAAGGAAATCACCTGGTAATACAAAGGCCTTCCAGTCACATTTCGAAAACCAAACGTTCTACTGCAGGTAACTAATCAACCCAAGCGACTCTACCATGCTGCGCCTACGCTCTGCTGGGAGGCTCTGTAGCAGAGGAAAGGAACAGTTCTGGCAAATATGAAAAACACAGGCATTAGTCTATTTATTTGTGTGTGACCTTAACTGCCCTTTACTTACACAGCACTCTCCAGTTTGTTCATTTTTCTCAAACTAACCCATATACAAAATTTTAAAAGAGTACTGAAAGAGCAGTGCCTGTCCCAACACCCTCCATTTTTTTTCAGCTTTCTCTTTGTATTTACTTAAGTATTTCTAAATAGGATGCTTCTACTGCTGTTCCTTAATTTAATCATGCTATTATCCATTAAAGGAGCTCTGGTGGTGCAGCACCTAAAGTATGCAGCTGCTAACCAAAAGGTCAGCAGTTTGAGCCCACTGCCACTCTGCAGGAGAAAGACAAGGCAGTCTGTTCCTGTAAAGATTTACAGCCTTGGAAACACAATGGGCATCGCTATGAGACAGAAGCAACTCAATGACAGTAAGTTTGGTTTGGCTGTGTGTTTTTCCAATGTTGTTGTTGTTGTTGTCATGTGCCGTAGAGTAGGCCCCAACTCATAGCGACTCCTCCTTGGGTTTCCGAGGCAGTATCACTACAGAAGTAGGATTGCCCAACCTACCTTCCAAGGAGGGGCTGGTGGGTTTGAACCGCCATTTTCCAATGTAGCTACTTTTAATTTTTTACAAATACTCCAAAATCTGTTATATGCCTATCAATAATATTTTGCAATTCATTTTAAGGAGTCTTCAGGTCTGACTGTTAGAACTATGTAGTAATGATGGTTAGCTGAAGGATGAGCAAATACGGAAAAAATAAGTTTCATTTTGGAAAAATAGAAAATGACAGAAATCCAAACACAAGGCATAAACTTCTGTCATTCAAGATTTAAGACAACTGCATTGTAACTGAACAGCCAAAGCATAAAAACAAAACAGTTCAACATTTGCTTATTAACTGAAAGTTTTTTTGCTGCTGCCCAAATCATGTAAGGCAGGTTTCCTAGAAAAAGCTTAAACCCTCTTGAAAGTCACATTGCAAGCAACTGTTGCTCTGTGAGATACAGCTGGATAGAAAACGAAAACCAAGCACAATCAAGACTTTGGTAGCTGAGCCAAATAAAAATTATCCCATCAATGTTTATTTGTTCCAACATATATAAAAATTGCCCTACCAATCTGTTCACCATATATTTGATGATTTGCCACCCAGTGCTTGGGACTGGATGATAATAAGAAAACCATCAGAGTCCACAATCTAGCAGGGAATTAATTAGTTCAATCTTTTGGAGAGTAACTTGGTAATATCTATTGACAATTTTTAAATCCATACCCTTGATCAAGCGATTCCATTTCCAGGGTTTATTTTGCTGAACCAGTGAAACAAAACACAATGTGCAGGTTGAATGACTGATGGACATATTTAATGTCACTTTACAATATACATGGGAACTCTGGTGGCATAGTACCTAAGGCATTTGACTGCTAACCAGAAGGCTGGCGGTTCAAACCCACCAGCCACTTCTCGGAAGGAAGACTGGACAATCTACTTCCATAGAGATACTGCCTTGGAAACCCAAGGAGGAGTCACTGTGAGTTGGAACCAACTAGATGGCAGTGAGTTTGGTTTTTCTTGCGGTGTACCTGAAGATAGTTGAAATGGCAAATGTTTTATTACCTACATACTTAACAACACAATAAACAAAACATACACACACACACAAAAAAAAAACCCACAACGTACAAAACACACATACACCCAATCAATCCACAACTGTAACTTTAGAATATCTTTCTATGTAACTACCAAGATGTACTAACAAGTTAAAAGAAAAAAAAAATTACAGAAAAACATAGTTTATCCCCTCTCTGTAAAGCAGAACAGCATACATGTAATCAGTGTGCACTAAAAAGTCCCCAAGGTTAATAGCGATTATCTCTGAGAGTCAGACCACGGGATACATTTACACTCTACATTGTACACCTCAATTGTATTTTCATAGTAAGTATGTACTACTTCCTAGTTAGAAAGAACAAAAACCAAAAGGCTTACTGATGCTTTGATGTTAGACCTGGATTCAACTGTAGCTTAACCGCTTATTAACTGGGTGGGTGATGCTGGGGACAGCTTAGGTTCTCTAGAAAATGGAGGGAATAACAGCATCTACCTTGTAAGGTCATTTTGACCAAGAGGTGATAGATGAAAACGTCTGCAGCACAGCGTCTGGCAGTCAGTGCTCAAGAGGGGTTTACCAGGCCATCAGTCCCCTTTCAGAGAGTGGCCCGACTGTAAATCCAGATCTCCCACTCACAGAGGGACTCAGGGCGACCCTCGGATGGGCAGATTAGCAGCTTTGTTGAGCGTACTTTAAAATTAAACTGCTCTGCATCACCGTCTGAACAACGCTGAGAGGTTACATACACAAAAGCTGGTCACATCCCTAATCACTTACTAGATTTCCAATAGAACAAGTGATATATACTGTACACACATAAAGTGTAACTCTAAGTTGAGTCACTTCAGTCCACACACCTAACACACATAATAGGTTCTCATTACTTTAAGGCTGCATCCTAACAGTTTCGGTTTGTGGACCATCTGCGTCAAAATCACCCCATCCAGAGACTGATTTACCGTGGGCCCCTCCCTGGAGTCCACAACGTGGTGGCCTGAGGCCCCACACCTGATTTTCAGTAACATTCCCCAGGTGATTCCTACACATACTAAATTTTAAGAATCACAGCTGGACCACAAAAGGGTACCTTAACCGAATGTTGAAAATTTGCATGGCTGATAGGATACTAGAATGTTTTTGCATAAAGTAAAAATAACCCACATTCAACCAGCACTGCTGGGAAAAATGCAACCTCGACCAACTAAAAACACAAAGGGTCTCCGTGGCCATTCAAGTGCCGGGCAACACTTCTGAAGTAAGTAGACGGCTCCCACTTCTGTCTTGCTCCCTTTTTCCGAAACATCTGACTGCTCTCCAGCTTGAGGTGACAAGTGAGCACTCTTGCTGCACAGCAGCCCACATGATAACAAGAGTTACCGAAAAAAACCTGAGTATCCTTAATAGCATTGAAAAAACAAGTAATCCTCCGAAATCTCAATACACTCGGGGAGGAAGTAAACTGTCTCAGCCACTTAAATGCTTGCTCTTAGTATCAGAGAAGGCTGCTCACAAAAATTAGCTGCTTTTTTAAATCTTGGGATTCGGAAAATTATAAACACTGGAAAGGCAACATTACAAATCAAGGTATTTCTTGTTATCAAAAAAAAAAGAAAGAAAAACACAAAGACTGATTATAACAGATACAGAGAAAGAAGCCCGATGAAGAATAAATCACTCTTATTACAATGGCCAGCTTTAATGGATCCATCAGTGGTCTAAGTAAATTAAGTTCTACTCCCATACCTTTTCCATATGATCTTACTTCTCTTGTAATACAGACTTATCACCGATTTTCATTTTTCACCATTAACTACCCCCACTAAAAGTCCAAAAGAAGTCACCTTGGCCTCTAACGGGCCTGATCTTCCTAAGCATAGGAAGTGAACGTAAGCAACACCGACAGACAAGGGCAAAACAAGAAAAAATAAATAAATAAAACTCACTGCCGTTGAGTCGATTCTGACTCATAGCTACCCCCTTTGGGTTTCCCAGGCAGTACATCTTCACAGAAGTAGATGGCCCAATTTTCTGCAGAGTGGCTGGTAGGTTTGAACCGCCAGCCTTCTGGTGAGCAGCCAAGTGCCTTAGGCACTGTGCCACCAGAGCTCCTTAAGACAAGCTGCAAGCAGGCACCAGAGTATGACCTTAGAGCGCTGGAAAAATGAAAACACAAGCCACAGAAGCAAGCCACGCTGTGACCTAGTGGCAGTATGGATTACTTACGGATGAATTCAATCCTTTGAGCCTGCCGGTTCCCAGGGGGAGCCCACCAGCCCAGCGCGGCTCTCTAGCAACCCTTCTGGCTGACTGAAGGAACACAGTGGACGCTTCAGAGTCAAGGGATGAAAGCAGTGAAGTGGGGATCTTCCCGAGCAAGAAAACGGGATCTTTCAATGTGGGTGAAAACGAGCAACGCCCAACGGCAGAAACCTCTTTTGAAAGAAAAACTGTGCCAGAGAGGGGGCAGGAAGGGGGAAGGGAAAGGAGATTAGCACACACACAAAAAAAAAACACACATAAGGAGGGGGGAGGCAAATGACTTGCATTACACAAGTTTAGTGTCCATAATGCAAAGGCAAGTACATAGAACGGGAAGACACAATAATTGAGAAAGCACACGGTCAAAGACGGACAAGAAAGCCGAAGCTGCCTAAATGCTCAATTCTCGCCGATGTCTGACTCTTTTCCGAGTCAACAGTTCCCAAAGTTAGAACACCAGTGCGCTTAGGCTCCTCTGCAAACTGTACTTTCATAGCCTGGGACAACTTTCTAAACAAGCTGTAACTCGGATGGCTTACAGCTATATACACGCATTGCTTTGCTAACGACAAATCCTCTCGCCGAAATCTTTCTTCCGGGCTGCCAACCAGACGCTCATTTTTCTTGACACGTATTTTTCAGAAAGTCGATTGAAAACAGCGACAGAAATAATGACATCCCTACTGGCTCTGGCAACAAACGTTTTAGCTCCCGGTACCAATAGGGTTGGTGAATTTCCTCGCAAAATTCCGGCCACAGACACCGGCAGATGGTGACGTGGTGGCTGTGCAGGTCACAGGAGCATCCCTGCGCTTGCAGCCTGATCCGGATCCCCCGCCTCCCGAGCGAACTGAGACTGACTCACAGAATCAGCACCCGGGGCCTCTCCGGCTTCTCTCGGCCCTTTCTGCGCACACCCTCATGATGAAGGCTCGAGATTTAACTAAGTCACCCAGAAAGCCCGTGGCCGCCTTCCCCGGGGTTGCCCCCAGAGCTAAGAGTCGCGGGAGGATGGTGCCCAGGAAGGAAGCATCCCAAAAGGGGAAGTGTGCAGACAGAGCTTCAGGGATTCCGCCTCGACCACCGGGCCCGGCCCGGTGCCGCTTCCCGCTGCCGAGCGGGAAGGAAGAGGCTCTGGAGCAGCGCGGAGCGTCGCCGCCAGGACTCACCGTGGCGCAGAGGCTCCGCTCCGGCCCGGCCGGCCCCTCTGAGCGGTGCGAGCGGCCGCCGACCCCGCTGCTGGTCCCCGAGGGCAGCGTCTGTTTCCTCCACCGTCACCACCACAGCCACAGCCACAGCCACAGCCACAGCCACAGCCGCCGCCGCCCGCTCACCGAAGCAGCAGAAGCTCCTTGCTTCCGCTCTTCGTCGGGGTCCCGCGAGAACTACCCGGCGCGCCCCGCCCCGCGCCACCCCCGCGAGGCTCCTCCCCTGGCGGAAGAGGCTCAGAGCGCAAGCGCGCCTCAGCGGCTGGGCCTCCGCTAGCGGAGATGAGCTGGGTATCAGTGCGCAAGCGCCAGACCGCCCCGCAGCAGGTGGCACCAGGATGGCTCCGCCCCCTGGCCGCTGTAACCTGCTCGGTGCCGGAGCCGTTAAATTACACCTCAGACCTAAAGGTGTGATTCTTGCCTCAATCATAATCATTTTCCCTTTCCTTTCCAGCAAACGAAAGTAATGAAAAAACAAACAAACAAACAAAAAAACCCTGCCTGCAGCGTGAAGCTCTCCAAATAGAGAACCAGGTCTTGAAACGTTTGAGAATCTGGTGCATACAAACAGCAACGTTGAATGAATTAACGCGCTCGTTCTCTCGGTCATTGACTGAATCATGCGCATAATACGTGCTGGGTGTAAAAGATACAACGTCGAACAAAAACCCCAGCCCTCAAGGAATTCACAGTCTAGAGTTGAACAAAAGTAAACAAATAACGCCATAAGTAATGTCGTAATTATTTGGGGATTTCAGGAAAGGTGGAATGGGCGGAGGGGTCGCTACTCAGCCCTTCGTAGAAAGCCTTCGCAGAGAAGGTGATGTGACATTTGAGCTGAGTCTTGGAGGATGAGTAGGAGTTCTCCAGGCAGAAAAGGCAGGGTGAGGGCATCCCAGGCAACGGGAACCGAGGCAAGAGCGAGAATACTGTGTTCTGTGCAATGCTAAGTAGTTCGATGCCTGCACGAGGCGGGTAAGTACTGAGCAGTGGCAGAAGCTGAGGCTTGGAGAGGTAACTCTTTCTCAGTTCCAAAAGCGCTTTGCAATGCAAGAAGAGAACAGAACACATCTAAAGTTAATGTGCTTTCCCGACGCTAACAAAACAACATGAAAACGACAATAACCAAACATCTGATTCCACAGAGAAAACAAGCCATTGAAATAAGGAAGATGTATTATTCTTACATCAAATACTTATTGATTAGCAGCTGCTGGCAAGGCACCCTGCCGGGTAAAAGATGAACCAGACAGAACCTCTGCTCTCAGCAGTTTAGAATCCACAGAAGAGTGGCCTGGTCTGCAAGATGAGCTATCAGCCCCATGTACCGCTGAGCAAGATAAAGAGAAGGGAGCCATCACTTGTGCTGAAGGAGAGGATGTAGTGTTGGAGCCAGAACTTGGAAGCAGAAAGAAAAGAATGGTGATCAGCCAGTATTTCAAATTGGCCAAAGCCCAGGATTTGGGGGAAGGAATAAAGAGAAAGATGCCAAGATGTACAGCTTAGGTTTAAGTGATGTGTAACTTCTGAAGGTTTCTGAGTGAGAAATGCCTGATATAAGGTGATAATAACAAGAGAACCATCTAGGTAGCACACGATGTGTACAAAAGTCCCGGCTCCTGTATAGGACGGTTAATATCCCCATTTTACAAATTTAGAAATTGAGGCTTGGAGAGGTTAATGACTTGCCCAAGGAAACCCACATATAGCAGACCCAAGATCTGAACCCATCTTGTTCCAAAATCCATTGACACCTATGACACTCTGTCCTAGAATGGTGGCCAGGAAAATAGAATGAAATCCTAATGAGGTAACCAGCTGCCAACAAGGCTGTTCCAACTCATGGTGACTTCCTATGTGTCAGAGGACTGTGCTCTGTAGCGGCTTCAATGAGTGGTTTTTTCGCAAGAACACCAGGCCTTCCTTCTGAGGCACCTCTGGGTGGACCTGGACCAACCTTTAGGGTAACAGCCCAAAGCGGTAACTGTTAGCACCGCCTGGGGACTCTGAGAGCCTGGTTAGCCAGGCTGCGAGGGAATGAGTGCTCCAGATGGTGTGTCGGCATGGGCAAAGCCCACACAGGAAGGGAGAATCAAGGAACCCAGTCATACCTGGGAGGAAGAGAGCAAGGGGAAGAAGAACGTGGCAAGTGGCTGAAGTATCAGAGAGGCTCATAGGGGGCCTTTTCAGCATTGCTGAAGACTTACAACTTAATTTTTTGGTATACTTAAGCAGAGGTGGGCCGTGGTCAGATATTTCAAAATATTTGTCACTCTGGCTGCAGAGTAGAAAATTAATTGCAACTAAGATATTTATCAACTACAACATAATATTGCAAGTCCTTTTGGAGGCCCTTAACCATCTAGTCCCTGTTTAAGAGCCCCACCCACTCTTTCCCTAAGCAACCCAACCTTCCCCCTGACCCCAACACATGCATTCCACCAATAAGAAACCACTTGTGGTTTCTGGAAGATGGCAGATCTTTTGAGCATCCTTATCTCTGCACATGCTGCTTGCTCTATCCAGTTGGCCTTCTCCCCTTCCTTAGATCTCCAAATCAGCTTTGGGGCTCCTTCTCCAAAATTCCCATGGCACTTCCCATTTCCATGGTTATCATTATTTGTTTACTACACTGGCCCCTAATGGTCTACCAGCTCCAGAACAGACAAGGCCACACTTTTTCATGTTTTGACTGCTAACTAGAAGGCTGGAGGTTCAAACCCACAGCCATTCTTCGGAAGGAAGACTGGGCAATCTACTTCCATAGAGATACCACCTCGGAAACCCAGGGAGGGGTCACTATGAGTCAGAACCGATTCTCTGTTCTAGAATGGTGGCCAGGAAAATAGAAATGAGATCATAACGAGGTAACCAGCTCACGGCGGTGAGCTTGGTTTTTGGTATTCTCAGCAACCAGCCCAGGGCAGTGCATGGTACAAAATAGGATTCATAGAGTAAATAAGTGAATAGATGAACAGATGGATGGATGGATGAGGGGGTGGGCGGGTGAGTGGGTGGACAGATGAAGAATGGAGGTTGACTGGAGATAAAGATGTGGCTACTGTCCTGGACAGTGGTGACATTTAAAGCTAAGGAAGTGAATGAGATCTCAGAAGAGACTAGATGCCTAAGTGAGTAGAAAAAAAAATGTGATATACTTCCTTTTAAAAAGCAGCAATGATAAAACTGTCTCTGAGTATCTCTATGTAAAATTATATGCATATGGACCACATTTGTAAGGAAACATTTAAAACTAAAAATTGTTGTAGTTGTGTGCCGTCGAGTCGGCCCCGACTCATAGCAACCCCTCCTTGGGTTTCCAAGGCAGTATCACTATGGAAGTAGGATTGCCCAACCTTCCTTCCAAGGAGTGGCTGGTAGGTTTGAACCGCCAGCCCTCTGGTTAGCAGTCAAGTGCTTTAGCCACTATGCTACCAGAGCTCCTAAAAATAAAAATAGTTGTGTTAAAATGGTGCAATTGAGGGTGACAAAAAAAAAATTTTCAACAGTTGTTACACTATCTTGTCAATACATTTTTTTGTTCTGCAAACGCAGACTCAGAAACTTGAGAGAACGTTGTCCAAGATCATTCCATGCAGAGAAAAAAAACCAAGGGAGGCAATAGAGTTTTGAAGGTGTGTGTGTCATTAACATTAAATTCTGAAAAGAAATGGAAGAGGCAAGCTGGGAAGTAAAAGTCACACACTGATATGAAAACCTGTTATAACTGTTGTAAAACTTGCTAATTATGAACTGGCCACGTCAGTTCTTTCAGAACGCATAAATTAATTGTCAAAAAGTCTCTTTTCAGTCGGGGTTTGTGGTTAATTTTAGTCGACAGAGTGTCTAGCACTTTGCTTTATGGGAGTTATAGTGCTGCCACCTCCTGGTGAAAATTGAACATTGCCCTGGAATTTACTGACCGTTGGAGGTCTGTAGGAGCTCTGGTGGCGTAGTGCCTAAAGCATTTGACAGCTAACCAAAAAGGCTGGAGGTTCAAACCCACCAGCCACTCCTCGGAAAGAAGGTTAGATAATCTACTTCCATAGTGATACTGCCTCGGAAACCCAAGGAGGGGTCGCTATGACTCAGATCCAACTTGATGGCAGTGCTTTTGGTTTTGTCTTTTTTCCGGAGGTCTGTGGACCATCTCAGACTCATAGCGACCCCTCCTTGGGTTTCCAAGGCAGTATCACTATGGAAGTAGATTGCCTGATCTTCCTTCCTTTTTGGAGGTCTGTGGAAGGAGTCCTGCTGGTGCAGTGGTTAACATACTCATTTGCTAACAGAGAGGTTGCAGTTCAAACCCACCAGCCGCTCTGCAGGAGACAGACGTAGCAATCTGTTTCCACAAAGATTATATCCTTGGAAAGGCTACTGGGCAGTTCTACTCTGTCCTATAGAGTCGCATGACTTGGAATCAACTTGACGGTGGTGGGTTTGGTTTGTTTGGATGAAAGGTCTTTGGGGCCCCTGTTGTTGTTGTTGTTATTTGCCGTCGAGTCGGCCCCGACTCATTGCGACCCCTCCTTGGGTTTCCAAGGCAGTATCACTATGGAAGTAGGAATGCCCAACCTTCCTTCTGAGGAGTGGCTGGTGGGTTTGAACCGCCAGCCTTCTGGTTAGCAGTCAAATGCCTTAGCCACTATGATACCAGGGCCCCTGGGTGGTACAAATGGTTAAGAGGCTCAGCTGCAAATTGAAACGCTGATGGTTTGAGTACACCCAGAGGCCCTCAGAAAAAAGGCCTGGTGATGTATTTCTGAAAACTTCAGCCACTGCAAGCCCTATGAAGCCAGTTCTCCTCTGAAACACATGAGCCAGAACTGACTCCATAAGGACTGTTTGTTTTCTTTTGTTGATATGGAGGCCTATATAGAATTAGCATGACAGCTGACCTTGGCCTTTAGGAGTGGGCTCAAGACCATGTCAAGCTGCACTGAAATGCCTTGCAAAAAAGGGCCTGGGGGCTGTGTCTTCTGACCTCTAACATCAGGAGGGGCAGAGAGAATCACCATCAGCAACAACCCAAGGCTGATTCCTATGAGGCGGAGGTCAGACATGCCCCCACCCTCCAACCTTTTTGCCAATTCTGACACCAACCGTCCCTCCCACAGCACTCTCTCCTTCTCTGCTGGGTTCAATGATGTGCTGCAAACTCGCAGACAATACTCA